TGACGAAGCTTTAGAAATTCTTGGAATGCCATCAAATGCAGCGGTCAATCAGCTATTATTTAAAAGTAGAACAAGCAGTTTGGTTTTCTTTGTCAACGGTAAGAAATATAAAAATAGCTACATTCGTGGTTAGCACCATATATTACGCACTCAAATACCTATAGTGGAAACGACTTCATGCGGTATATCTAAAGCTAACGTTTTACTTGAGGCCAACGTACCGGTTGATTGAAATACTTTTAATTTTTCTATAGTTTGAGATAATAGGTCTATCTATCTAATTTTTGTATAACACACACGTTGCACAGTCGCATCATCAGAATTTATTCTTTCCTACCACTGCAATTTTCGTTGACGTAATTGTTCTTCGAGCTTCACGACTGCAATGTATAAATGTTCTTATTAGCTTGGTGTCAATTCTCGTTTGTCTCTCGAAATTGTCTTCATGATTGTTTGTCATCAAGGGCTATGTCTATACTCTGAAGACTTTTTAACTCGCCGCCGTGATATTTCCAACAAGACTACAATCACTTTTAACCAAAACCTCGAGTTGCTGTCACACACTTAGAGCTAATTTAAAAAACGTGAACAACCATTGTAGCTGAGTGCTATTGACGTTCTTCTCTCGTTTGAGAGTGGAAAACTGCACATTCAGTGCATCGGGTACTATGTCCTTGTTACGTTCATGGTACGCCCGCTAAATTCTAAGGCATTAAAAATCTTTACGAGTCATGCATTGTAGTGCATGGTGACGGTGTGACCACATCTCTCTCAGAGCATGGCAAAATGGTGATCCCTCATTGCTATGTATACGTGCGAGGTGATTATTGATCGATTCAATTTAATGTAGTGGTGGTAACGCTTCCGCGTCACCCCGATTATGGGCTGTCGCATGATTACGATTGCGCCAGGTTATAGGCGATACGTGCAGCGTACAGGTCGGTCAGACGCAAAGTATGCTGTGATGCTGAAAGCTTCGGTATGCAAGGAGCTTGTGAACTCAGATCCCTCTTTAACGAAGCGTTCAATTGCACGTTTCCTCCGCTATTCCCTATCCCAAGGCTCGTTGTACTACACCACTGGCCTAATTGATACGCGTTGAATCATACCGAAAACATCAGAATACTGGAAGCGACACATGATATACCGTTGGGCTGATCAATGAGTGCTATGTATTGGTGTCCAACACGTCTAGGGGTAAGCACTTTTGTTTGAACGCCAGAAGCGTGTCAACCGAGTAAACCTTCGCGGCATTGACCAGTCTTTCAATCCCAGCAAAATGCTGGTAGCCCATATTTTAACGTTTATTTTGGTCTATCAAAAGGTGCATCAAGGGCTTTTTGTATCCTACTGGCTCGTAACAGTGGATTATGATATGGATTTCGCAAGCGTACGAAGATTGCAGGATCTATACGCATTTACTATTAAATGCTGAAAGTGTGAATTAATCCTTTTTTTGCTACGATGGTGAAGGGTCCAATGTAGTGTGGTCGCAGTTTGGTCTTATATACTATAGCCACTGCGTATGTAGCTAGACAAACAGTCTTCGAAAGAACTTACATATCTGCGACATCATGCATGATTTGTATGCCGCTGGCATCGGCACGTTTCTTCTGCACATTCTGCTCTCCGCCATAAAGTTGCATACTTGGCGCATGGCTCTCAAAAAAATGTTAATTGCAATAAAGTAGTCGATTTTTCCAGGAAGTGTATCTGGGCTAAAATCAGCGAGTCGTATAACATAATACGTTCCCGCCAAGATCGGAATCACTTTGTGGTGTTGTCAAACGAACAAATGGCTTAGCCAAACCATTGTAGTTAAGCATTTGAAGACATGTACTGCGTTATCTAATACAAAGTTAATGAGGAAAGAACTGGCTCTGTCATCGCATTATCCCTTCACAAATACTCAGAAAGATACCGCCATCTCAAATTCATCGCGTTCTGTCAGATCATCTGTTTGAAATGCTTAGCGATAGGCCTGTCCAATCGGATGCCTGGCCTCATTAATAAAGATTTCTCGGATTTCGCTCTAGACAGCAAATTTAGTTTTTCGTCAGATTGGCGAAAACCTTGTCGAGGGGCAGCTAGGCTGCCTCCTCACTGCAAATGGTGCCGCTAACTGCAGCAAGATAAGCCATCTTTTCTAAAGATCCCAATGCCAGCATTTAAGGTCCGAAGCCGTGTCTCAGCTATCCCTTGTTGCTGAGACCCCTCTGCTTTAAGGAGGTGATACGGAATTGAGCCGCTGAGGCTGTCTCAAGTTGCTGCGTGCGATGTTATAATTTGGGGAGCACATCCGAAAAAAATGCAATTTTCAGTCCCCGCTTTACTCAGAGACGCTCGGGAAGTTCGCTGTATCACCATAACTACAATTCTTATAGGGACACCCGCGATAGGATCGTCCTCTGCTGGTGCTGCTTGACGAGATGTCCTACTTCCACGTGTCATATTTGGTGATCTGGTGGGATCACCAATGATGTTACCAGCACCTGGTAAAATGGAAGGGACAAATCGTACCTAAAACTCATGGAAACTCCTGATTCCAATTGGACAATAATCTGGCACTGCTGACGCTTACGGTTTGGCGGACCCTCGGTCTTTGTCGCTCTAGGGAATGAGACAGGGTTTCCCAACGCAATACGCATTTTTCTGGCGAACCGAGCTCAACTTTGTTGCATGCTTGAGGCTGACTATTCGTTGAGATGAGCGTAATTGTTTAAGCAAGAAGTTTGTGAATATCGATTTTCTCCGAGCGCAAAATCAAGCATCAAATGACGCTCTTGTTTGACTCCTGCTTAAATGACTGGCTTGTTCACTTGAAAATTTGGTGAGACGACGCCCAGTGTTGAGGTGATAGAACTCATAGTCATGACGTGATCGAGTCAGCAGAAATTTTTCTTTACTTTCGCACTTGCAGGCAAACTGGGCTTTGTGAGCGACATCCAAAGCTTTAGTGACAAGCTAGATGCCCCCGTCACCCTGCAACAGGGAGTCGTCACAAAGTACGTAATTGAGATGGAGTACAGGCGGGTTGAATGAAAAGTGTCTTACTTAGCAAGCGGCTCTGCCGTATTTCTATTGGTGAAAAGGAAGGTGTCATGTCAGGACCCAACAAGTCCCTTCTACCATACCATCGACAAACACATTGCCCATTTCGCCGCAAATGGCCTTGAGGTCGACGACATCGAGGCCCACGCCTAATTCAGAGCTTGTTGACTCACATGAGAGTATACAAGGACGAAAACTTTCGATGCAAAATATTTTCAGGAACAGGCACTGTAAGGTGTAAGTGGTATAGTATTACCCAGAGCACAGCAAGGTCTCGTTAATTATATACTTTACACAATGTGTAAGCTTCAGTGTGGTCCACACCATGACAAGGATATGCACACTGATATTGTGTACTCACAAATTCCGCAACTCTGAAGTAGTGGTACTGATGAGAAGGGAAATGTTCCGTAATGGAGCGGTCCATGCCTCACGTGGCGCAATGCTTAAAAAGTTATAAATGAACCAATTAAACAGAAACACGAAGAATTTGTACATATCACCGAATAAAAATGTACATCATCGTGAAAAAGAAGAACAAAGTACTCGATTACATTAGCAGCTCACGATTTCGCTTTCTGCGGAGCGTAGAATTTTATCATCTGTGCGTTATGTGAAGCGGGGTCGCGAAGTCAAAGCGCTTTCCCTGAAGCTACATGGCAACCTCGTTGCAATTGATCTGCCGAGTGTCAATTCCGACAGTCATATCTGTCTCAACATATACCAGAAATGTGACAGTTTGCCATTTGCAAGGGCTGGTATGCAAGTCCAATTAATAAATTTATGCAGAGGATGTTGAAATACAGTGGATCCATAAAGTATTTGAGCTGCATCAAACCTTTTTAGCCTGAAAATCATGCTGTTCGACGAAGATCGCTAAAAAATCCTTAGCTTGCACCTTAAAATTAACCAACGTTGGTATAAAGCGGATATTGATCTGCGCGAGAGTGTGATCACAAGTCTGGTGATTTATCAGCAAAAAATCTAAGCGATCAACTTCTTACGAATCCTTACTTCAGTGTGGATGGTACGATCATCAAGCAGGATCTCGGAGGGTCGCTCGTTGTTGTACGCTTTCTATATAGCAACGGAGAAATCCCCAATTCCATTCAGAGCGTAAGTCTATGACAAAAAGTGTACCAGCAATCATCACATCGGATCGCGACAAAGGTCTGATACTGGCAATAGGACACAAAGCAGCCATCGTGTCTCCATGGGGTCGATCTACGCAAATGATAGGGAGTCGTGACACATTTTAAACAAAGCTCTGCAAAAGGACACATGGCGATTGAAAAACGCTTTGCTTGTAGCATGCTTCAGCTGAATTGAATGCGAAGGGCCCAAAGGTCGAAAATGACTGAAAGCAGTGTCCACAGTAAAGTGGTCGGTTGCGCGTAGCCCGTGTACATGATTTGATACGAGAAACAATTTTGTGTCAAAGTACAAAGAACTCGCGACAAACTACTGCTGGACTGACTGTGTGCTGTAGAGTAGTACGTCAGAGCAAGTGAAAACATATCAGAGGATACAGAAAAGTCGCCAGGCTTCTTATTGTAGTAAAAAAACAAGCATCCATCGTCATGCTTGGTACAGAATTATCTGCATAGACGGCAATAATCCTGTCGGGCACGCTGTCGGTCTTAAATAGAACTGTGTCGAACTTGTAACGGGATTACACGTACCCTGGTAACAGGGGTGTGTATCACGCAAGATGTGCATGGTGTGACTGCACCCAAACAAGAATACGGTATGTGGCTAGGTAGCCTTTCCTTGGGTAAGACAATTACTATTGGAGTAAGAGGATTGCGATCCGCTAGCTCATACTTGTTCTAAGTATAGAACGAAAGGTCGGTGATCTAAATTACGCTTCCTCAAGTGCTAAGCTACGGCAGCCCGCTGCAGTACTCGTGTGGCTGCTTATTCATGAAGGCTCCATGTCCCCTATATCGCTTCAGTACTAAAGCTGGACAACAAATTGACCTTGCTCCTGTCCTTCTTGATGAGTCATAGACGACTGAAGCGGGTCGATTGACGCGCGTACGACCCAGCTGTCAAAAGGAGTCCATACGTGACCTGCAAATATTTGAGCGTCGTCAGCAACTCCAAGTCTTAAAAAAGCGGGTCGTTTATAAAAGAGGCTAACGCACATGAAAACTCATTGTATTAGCCCTGGAGAAACTATGATCGTACTGACTGGTACTGACTGGTACCAACTCTACTTGACTTATAGCAATTCTTATGTGTTTTTCATGGCTGTCGATGTGTATGTATCTATGTACTATACCTTTATATTGGTTACGTGAGCTACATAATTTGTCAACTCATTCATTGCGCATAATATGGGGAGGGGTGTACGCATTGGCTCCAAAGCGGACGTCGTGAAGACCTTGCGCTCGCTGCTGCGTTTAACACGCAACCGTGGATCGCAGGATACCATACGAGATTGCAAGTTTTCGCAGAAGATTCTTGCACAGGTTGCACTTTTTCAATTATCAACTGCTTTATAATCTGACCTCGTGACCAATTTCCTTGTAGTACCGAGCGCGACAGCACGAGAATGATCGCGCTAAAATGCGTGCATACCGCTCCGAGGCTTGCGACTATTTGATGCTATTACAGGGCGTTGAGGAGCAGCGCGTACGCATATCTTTAAGCTTCCCAGATGATATCGAGTGATTGATATGTGTATTTTGTGTGTGTATTTAGTACTTGTGGGCGTTAGATGCTGGCATAGAGAAAAGACTTACAGGACAAGAAATTGTAAACGCATCCGCGCGTCGTGTTGGTCTCGAAGTGCCTGAGGTGTACGAAGATAAACAGGCGAAGGAAGAGCTTAAGAGAGAAGCAGCAGCAAAATACCTCGATGACAAGCGGACGAAAGAAGTTTCGGCGAGGCAGTAAAGCGAGCTTATGGGTTGCAATTCAAGACTCATACTATAGTCGGCGACTTGAGTAGAGATATAAGGGTGTAGCTAACGTATGTTCATGGACGTAATTCATGGTACCATGATGTTGATTTTCATGTTCGTGTTGGTAAACAGAATCAAGACAAAAGGCGAGTGGCCAAGAACAAGCACAAGTTTAAGGATATAACCGACTCTTGAGCGGTGTGTCTATGGACTTGCATCATCGAGATCGTCTCGCGAAGTAGCTTGCTCTGATGATAGCGTAGTGAGCACGACACGGCCCTGTCGGAGATCCATAACGACCAAGCGATAAAATTTGCCCTTTTCCGACAGTACAAGTAGTTCCATGGATGAGATTCCACAGATGACTGCGGCATATTCGCTTGATGCCGAGTAGTTGAGTACATAAATCTCGTCGCCTTCCTGAAAGATCCAATCTCGATACAAGAACTTATTCCGATAATACTTGGCCACGAATGTGACTTCCTGATCTGCTAAAAAATGCCAAATATCCTGTGAGTTCATAGCTTTGAAATCGTAGAATGAAACATTTACCGGTGTCGCTCTCCATACGCCGCTTCTTCGTGGCTTCATAAGTTGTCGTGAGCTCTCGCACATCGGAGTCTATTTCCAACTGCCCTAACTTATTTTCGAGCGGTTGAAACACATAGCCGCCAGCGCGTTTTTTTATTTTCTGTGCAGTATCGTGGGCAAAACCCAAATCTGATTCAGGTTTATTACGCGTACTGCGTGTCTTGCGAGTCGTTGTCCGAGCTGTCAGTTGCAAAAGCAGAAATGTTTAATAAATATCATCAAAAGTAAGATTTTTTTTTCCACTCGTACCGTGACTGTGGCTACCCTTCCGCTGGTCGTGAAGGATCTCCATTTCGTGATGGATCTCGTCCAACATATCCTGGCGCAACTTTTCGCATTGCAATTCGTACTCGGAATTGGCCTCGTCACACTCATACTCAAAGATTACTGAGGTACCGCGCTGAAAATAGTCGCTTCGCTGTTTGGCCGCACGCAACAGTTTGTCACGCTCTTCGACAAGGCCTTGCAGTCTTTCAATCATATCCGGATGAGTCTCATCCAAGATTCTCAACCTTGCATTCTCGACAAATCGTATTTGAATCTGCAGTCGGCGCTTCGCTTGATCCACAAGTTTTCTTGACGTCTCAGAGGAGCTCTCCACGTCGCGCTTGACGGTCGCATACGTAGCAGTCATATGCAGTTCGCCAGCCTTGGCCTTTCCATTAACAACCACTTCACTACCATCTTTAATTGTGTTGTTTACTTCGCACTTACTTCTATCCACTTCCATGGGCCCTGAGGCTGTGCTAAGTGCACGATCCGGAGTTCCATGCACATCTTGGGCCTTTGGGGAGTTGGTTCCATCGGGAGTTGTCATTGTTGTATCACAGGGTTGCTCGACCACTATTGCTGACATAGTAAACAGTCTTATAGAAGATGTGCTTATACTGAGGAGATTGGAAGTTGTAGCCGATCAATGGAATTGACGGTGGACGACCGCGACTCGACCACTAGAATACTGCAATTGAACGGAGTGGGCAATGACGATCTTTCGAAAGCCAATGCCACCAAATCTTTAGTTAAAAGTGAAGTTGAACAAGTAGACTGCGAAGAGATGTAGGTAATTGTGAGGGAAAGAAAAACAGCAGAAGCTCGTTAGGGGACTCCGACTTGTTTCTAGTGCTTTTGGTGTCTGCTTTTGACTGAGAGTCTGTTTCACGCGGCCGATACATAACTTGAGCTGAGTCAGTGGATAAAGCCGTGTAGAATACACAAGTCTTCGCACTCATCCGCTTGGAGGCGGACGACAAGCGGACGAACTTAGTGTTTATTCCGCAGATACATGTGGGAAACCTTGAACAGCTGCTACGTACCATCCATCACGACAAACATTTTCTAAATAGTATACAAAACAGTCATTACTTTGAAACATCTTCTAAGGGTGGACCTTCGTAGTTTGGCAGGTTTTTATTTATAATAAGAAAATCAAATTCTACAGTGTACTGCCATTTTCAGTAAATAATGAAATAAGCAATATATCAATCAAGGCATGTTTAATATTTGTCCGCTCACTAACAAAGTATTGCATTGAATACAAATTCCAACATGTCAAACAACTTTTGATTAAGTGACATCAAAACACAAATGTCACCAAAAAAGTGAAAATGGGCACATTTAATGTGAATAAAAGTATTGACTCGACCAAACCAAGTCATTATGATCAAATATACGTACTAACACAAAGCACCATTCATTCATTTACTTCACAGCCAAAATACAAGTGATAAACACCTTGAGCACTTCCTCAAGATAATACACAGAAAAGCTTCCAAATCGACCCCTCTGTTGCTGCTTGTGCTTCGTGCTTCTTGCTTCTTGACTTTCCCTGATATGATTACCCTTAAAACCCTTTCATTTCAAAAAAGCAGTCTACGATACCACGTATGATGTGTTAAGCTTAGCACCGATTGCAATTGCTATGCGGGAAAAACGCGCTGAGCCGCGCTTCAGTACTTCAGGTTTGTGTTTTTCGTAAGCAGCTACGGCGGTCAAAAGCTTCTCGGATGCACCCAAGCCTGTCATGTCGGGTAACACTGACTTAAATCCATCGTCCATTTTCCCTGATGCCGCGGCATCAGAGTTCAAACCAGCAGCTGTAGCGTCAACTACTGATCCAGCATCTGGGACTGCCAGACCTGGTGACGAAGTGGCCGAGACAGAGGCCAAGTCAGCACTCGTGCCGGTCACACCAGACGTCACTGTATCACATTCTGGCTTCACACTCGCTGTTGCGGTTACTCCCGGTGTTGATTGCATTATCGGAGTCATTCCCATGTTCTTGGACTGCTCGTACTCCTCCGCCAACTTGCACTGAACTAATTGCTGCGAGATCTTGTTAATCATCTGCGCAACACGCTGGGCCTGCTGTGCTAGTTTCGCCTGGTGAGACGGCGTCTTGACTCGACTTTGTTGCATGATAAGTTCTTGCTGCTGTTCACGCAACTTGGCATGCTGCGCCGTTAATTGCTGTTTGCGTGCCTCTGGGAGCTTAAACGTTTGGTATTGCGCAGGGGTCAATGATGCCACGCTGGTTGCTTCTACAGGAGACAAAGTCGACATATCGATTGGGCTTTCTGAAGTTGACCCAAGACTAGTAGGTGACCCGCTAGATCCAACGACTGACGCTGAGGGTAGACTGTTGTCCGTCGCCAGCATTGAAGCCGCAGTTGTAGCTTCCGTTACTCCAAGTGAGGTTGCAGACTGCTGTTGAGCTGTCACACTCATCTGATTCTGCTTAAGCTGAGCCTGCTGTTGGGCAAGCAATTGCTGTCGCTGTTGTTGCTGCAACAACACCTGCTGGGCTTGAAGTTGTTTTTCTTTTTGCTTGCGCTGCTGTTCGAAAATTTCTTGCTTCTTGACCGCCGCGGCTGCCGCCTCGAGTTGCATTTTTTTCTTTTGTTCTTCAAAAAGCTTGCGCTGAACCTCTGCTTTCTGTTGTTCTTGCATCTTTTTTTGCTGCTCCTGAAGGTGTGCTAGCCGCTGCGCTTCCTGGGCCTTCTTTAACTGTTCTTGTTGCGTCACCGCACTTATGGGCGCATTTCCTGTAGCAGCACGCGTTTTATTCTTCAATCGATCCAAAATCGGCAGCACCTGCTTGTGAATATGTGCTTCCACACGGTCCAAGTCATTCTTGTTGCTACTTGTAACTTTCGATGGATCTTGCTGTAAAAGTGCAATAATGCGCTTCAAATTCACCAAGAACGTATTGATGCGCTCCTGCTGCTGATTTGCCGGTTTTTGCTTAACCATGCGTTCAAATTCTCGGTAGACAATCACAAGATCATCCCAGTACTTTTGCTTCATCTCCTTCAATCTTTCGACGTAAGTCTGGGTGTCATTGCCACTAGTCGTTGAGGTTGTCGTGACATTTGCTGTCGAAACCGTAGTAGCGGGCGTTGTAGCGTTCGTTGCAGGGCCATTGGAAGGCTGGTGCTTCAATGTACTATCCGAGAGCAACTGAGACGTATTCTGCGCACGCTGCATCTCGCGCATTGCTGCCTGTTGCGTATGGGCAGCTGCTATTTGATCCGGCTTTACTCCTCGCTGTGCTGCTGCAATAGCGGCTGCACCTTGTGTGTTTGACACTGGAGGCACTGTGTTTTGCACTGTCGTGGCATTAGAAATCAAAATCGGTGTAGTTGCGACTCCGGCTTGAGAAGTAGCCATCATAGCCGTAGATAGTGCACTATTTGTAGTAGCGGTAGCAAGCGCTCCTTGCTGTTGCTGCTGTTGAAGCTGGTGTTGCTTCTGCATCAAATACTGCTGTTGTTTGCGCTGCAATTGTTGTTGCTTGCTCTTGTGCAAGTGTTGCAGTCGCGTACGTGCCAATTGATGTTGTTGTTGGAGAGTCTGTAGCTGCTGGCGTCGCATGTCTGGGGCTACTCCTTGCTGCTGATGCTGCTGGGAAAGCTGTTGCTGCTGATTCATGTGTTGTTGTCGAAGTTGCTGGGTCTCTTGATTCTGTGTGTGCAATAGCTGTCGCTGTTGAGCTTGAAACTGTACTTGTATTCGCTGCAGCCACTGCTGCGCCTGTTGTTGTGGAGGATTAGACAGACTTGTTGTGGTCGCGGTACCGGACGTCATTGGTGTAGCACTGCTAGCGTTTCCACTAGCCGTCGCCGCTGGGTTTAAAGCCGGCGAAACACTACTCAATCCATTCGTGGCGGCAGCCATAGCGGAATTCTGTTGCTGTGCTTGAGCTTGAGCTTGAGCCTGAGCCTGAGCTTGAACTTGGGCTTGCTGTTGAAAATTATTGATAGCTGCACTAACAGCCACATGATTCTGCTGATATTGCTGTGCGTTCATAGTTGCGTTCACATTGACTGAGTTCATGTTCATATTAAGTGTGTTGTTCAAGCCACTGGCTGCATTGTTAATAGCATTAGACGTCACGACATTGTTGGCGTTAGTCATCATGTTAGCTTGCTGTTGCATATCGTTCGGGCCTGGCTTTTTCTTAAGACTCATGATTTTTCGTTGCATTTTCATCAAATACGAGTTCTTGTTCATTCGAGCAGGCATCAAAGATATGTAGACAATAGTCAGCATTTTGGCTCAGAAAATCAGCAAAATTGGGTTCTCACCCGATCGGGACTGCTGGACCAAAGCATCAACTCAAATTTTGCGGCCGAACCCCATACTTTCTGCTTGTCTACCTCACCCGAGATACGCGCAAGCTCATGATACCTACATAAAGCGTATATTTATAACGTTCTTTAGCGACTGTGATGAAAAGACGAGAGGGCGAAGGCAAATTGTTTCCAGTGGTAGCAATTATAAAGGTAAGACGTACATTTCCGTAATCATCTTCTTGCGTACGTCTTCGGGAATTTCGGATCGCCATTGACCCTCCATGATGCTTCACAGATGCGAAATCTTGACGTTGGCAAGAGATCACAATACTGAGAGTGGGCGGTTAATTAGGCGAGGCAAGCACTTCGGATAGGCCTGAATAAATACGCGGTATCATTGGTTGAAATGATGAAAAACGGTTTGGTGTGAAATTCATAAAGTGATGCAAATTGACTAAACGAGCTGATCATTATAAATTGAGGTTATTTCGTAGAGCTGTACAATATACTAACTTTGTATATGCGCACACTATACTATTCAAAAGTACCAGAATACCTGTTTTTGATGAGGACGATGGACTTCGTAAAGGATAGGTCCACGGTACACGTGGGCTGTCAACATCACATAATACTTGTAGTTATATTATTGTACGAATGAATATATATTTTTAGTAGTATTTTCCTTAGACTTAACCTCCAAATTATTTTTTAGTTTTGTAGTAGAAGATAAACAAATTTCATTGCATTTTTTATCCAGCAAATTAGCTACCTTATTCTATCTACTTTATCGCTAAGTTTTACAGGTTAGATGTCTTTAAGTGAAGTTGTAACGTGAAGTCAAATTTGTGAAGGACGACCGGTAAGCGTAGACGTACTTGAACTCAATATCCGTTCTTGTCAGGATAAGCCCGCCGTGGTTATGACGGTGGGACTTTTGTCTGGTGTAGTGGGGACGGCGCTGTACGGACAGTTGGTGGCTGTATCTGGGAGATTCCAATAGTGTTCATCAACTCCGCCGCTTAATTCCAAAGTGGCTGAGCATTTAAAGAAGAAGATCTTGATAGTAGCGCTCAATATGAAGTGCTACTACTGCCTTGATGCGGGCTTGGACGTCGATCAGGTTGGCTGGAAGCTCGTGGAAACGAATGTCGTTCCAATGCATCCATAAGCAGTGTAGAATGACAATCCGTACTGTGTGGAAAATCACAAAGAGACTGTAGCTGTATTGGGACTTGGCCGAAGGTGTAGGTGTGACATTGAACCACAGTATCGTTTGCCATTCGAGTCCCGTCGAGTACAGCTATTGAAAGGCGGCAAGCCCATCCTTCCAGGTGTTAGCCGCGAAGTCACAGTACTAAAAAAGGTGCGGAGCGGTTTCAAACACACCGCAGTCGTGATGACAAAAGCACTGGACTCCTTGAAGATGTTAAAGACGGTAGCCGAGGTATAACGCGTTGTGCTGAAGTCTGTAGAGTAGGTCCGAGTAGACAGGTAGTACGTGCTTCCCTATCTTGTTGTCTCGACTCCACATTGATTGAGCAGGACCTCTTTGTACACCAAGGCGGGAAAGCGGTAAGTCCGGGACTTAGTAACTAGATATCACGTTCCAAATCCGAGCAACGCCAAGCTCAGCCAATTTATAGGTGTCGAAGACCCATGCATCAAATGCCGCAAAAGTGCCAGTAGCTCCTCATGGCTGACCAGCGAGTAGATCATC